CAGATTACTGCAAGTTTATATCTAGATGTGTATAAGAGACAGGGTAAATACGACATTATTATATACGATCTTAAATAATTAATATAATAATAGTTAATCGCATGTATGTTGTAATGCAGCCATGGTGTTAGAAAGTTAGAGTATATATCATTTCATCGTGTTTATCAAGTTGTTTATTAACNTAGAGCCTGCCGATAAAAGATTTTCCAGTTAACTGTTGATGAGTGTTTCAGGACCCCGAGCAATATATATATAGGTAACAAGATAGGTAAAAAAACTTATAATAGCAAACTCAACATGTGAATTCACTAATTGCCTAAAAGTAAGCAATCAAATCATATGCCCTTATAAAATTTTTAGTACGAATTAAAAATAGGTTAATAATTTCCAATTATTATCATTTATGTTTCATTTTATCAATTAGTTAGCGATATGCAATTTAACATTTCATCATTTTCATTCCCTATTAGCTTAGTATATTACCATCAATTAAAACTTTTGTTTCTGAGATATAATAAACTATGTCAGATGGTACATGATGTCACTAATCGAAATGTTTTAAAAGTCATACTTTTGATCAAATGTTATTACAATTTGTTTCTTATAGCTGACGACGATCTTATTAAGAATTTTCACAATTAAACAAGAGGCCATTTGAGCTTGGCATGTTTTTAGAACATCAGGACACATGGAAATCTACCTTAAATATTGTGGAATTATGTGGAAATCTGAATAGTTCCAAATTCCCGTTTGGATTTTGAGTTATTCCAAGACATCTAACAATATTAAAAAGGTGTATCCGGAGATAAGATTTAACCTATTCATTAAAAAAATGGAATAATTTTGTTAACAAATAAATCAAATTTAAAGTAAAGTAAATTTAGACTACCTCATCTAAAAATTCTGAACTAATATCAGAAGAATTATTTAAACTTTTCAATGCATATCTATACCATTTTTGATTTTCAATATCCCAATAATTAATATTTCCTTCAGGTCATTCAGCTGAATAAATCTTACCAAATCCACTTTTGAAACTTTTTGAAATTTTTCAAAAGGTACCCATTCAATATACACAGTGAAATTCGATAAACCGGATCTATCGGTTCCACTAAAAATATCCGGTTTATTGGGATATCCGTTATAGCGAAACAATTTCAATATATTGAAAATCTATTATACTGAATTTTTAAAAAATTTTCATGCTAATAAAACTAATATACACTATAATTTAATTTTTTTTTATCTTAGTTTTAAGTCATAGAGGTCATGAAAATAAATATAAAATATTTTTAATTGAATATATAAGTAATACATAACTTCAGCCGGAATTAATATTTTTATAATTCTGGCCAAAATTAAGATTTACCGCATCACGTTACTTAAATTTTATTGGTTAATGATCACGGGATCCGGTTTATCGAATGAAAAATCATTAATTAAACATGTAGATACTGTCCAATATTTAAGAAGTGGTTGGGATCCTACTACAAGATTTCTTTCATGCTTTGTGAACTTAGTATATCTAGAAATCCAGAAACCATTTTCATAAATTGGTATGATCCAAATAATTTAAAGAATTTGTCGTTACTATTTTAAAATTTTAAAGATTAATTATATTCCATTGATTACTATAGTAAATTAATTGAAAACACAACAGGAAATCTTTCTGAATTAGTATACATTGTGATAATATCATATATTACGTTGATTATAAAATACTTATTCAAGCAATTTATCAAAATTGTCGAAATTTATTGATTCCAGAATTTGAAAATTTGTTAATTAATTGACAATTTTTAAATGGATTAATTATTAACATGTGCAAAGATTATGAATTTAGTTGGGTAAGTTATTTAAGTATTAGACAAATCATCACCAATTAGTTATTTAAATTTAAATTTTATTCTAAGGTATTTAATTGTAAGATATAGAATCATTTTTTTCTAGTTGGAAAAATAGGAATCCTATATTGTTAAAAATAAGTCATTCCGGAATAAAAGTGGTAAATTTAACCGAAGAATATAAAGTAAAAGGAGTGATTAAAAGTATTCCTTTGATTGTGGAATGAATCTTATTGAAGATTTTGAAATAATAGAATTCACTTTCATTGTGTCTGAAATTCTTTTTTTTTATTTTGTGAAAATAAAAATTTTATCAGAAAAAAGAATTGATAATATTGACATTTAGAGTGAAAATTTGACATACCTTGTATATCCTTGATATTCTCACGGATGATTCTTATTTAAAAAGAAAAAAGTATAAGGTGTTAAATAGTTTTATGATCGGAATCGTGATATAAATAAGTTCTGTGGAATATCCTGATTTTCACGACTGCGGCCTAAATAAATAAATATTGAGACAAAATGTCAAATGGTTCGAAATAAGCGGAATAGAATAGGTTAGTCATGTTAGCAGTTGCTTTTACGACATTAATATTGATTTATACAAAAAAAATTATGTAAAATTTGTATATATTAAGATGTATTTATAAATTATATCACCAGGTTTTAAGTTAATCATTTAACTTCGATATTTTCGATATTTTCGATATTTAATTTTTAGCTGTTTTTTTTTAAAATTAATAAGCAATTTAGATATAGGTCGTCCTATCACTTTATTCACGTATGGAATAAATATTACCAGAAAAAAAATTTTTAATCCAAACCTTAGGAAGAATGCACTACATTATTTATTGATTTAATTTATATTAGTATTTACATGCAAATAAAATAATTTTTTATGTAAAAAAAATTGCCTTTTTATTTTAAAAAGGAAATTTACATCTATTTTTCGGTATCCGATCAAAATCTCGACAAAATCTCGACAATCCAAAATCTCGGCAATCCAAAATCCCGACAAGTCATTATATCGACAATTTTGTGATGTGTGCTAATAAAATAATTTTTGCAATATGTAAAATTTAGTTTAAGTGTGTTATAATTTTGTCGGGATTTTGACTTGTCAAGATATTGGATTGTCGAGATTTTGTTGTCGGTCTTGTGTCAGTCGCTCAAATGATTTTCGAGATTTCGTACCAAAACCCTATTTTTCATCCCTTAAAACTATCAGTCAGATCATTTGTTAAATTATTTACTGATCATTTAATTTTTTCAATTTTTTTAATTCTATTTATTTTAAGGAAAACCATCAAAGTTTGGAATTTAACCGCAGTATTTTGAGTTTTTGGAATATATTTTATAGAAGATATATATCAGTCATGTAAAATGACGTAATTGAAAGAAATGAGAAGAAATATTTTTTAGGCTGAAAATGCTATAAAATTCTCCTATACGGAAAAGAAAGTGAAACCAAGCATGAAATTTATTTATTTTGATAGAGTTGAGGCGGATTATGTGGTAAACATTTTAATAAATGGTGGTCCCTGTACCACCAAAAACTGACACTAACCAGATCATCATTTTGGCTTTAAATATGAAAGAATCAGATATAAATCAGGCGTTTACCAGCCTGAGTTTTGATATCATGTTTAAGCTTATCAAATCCTTATGTTCTATTTTGTTACATATCTTGTCAGTTTCATCTTGGCTTTCCCCTAGGCTCTACCTACTATACTTCTACCTATACCCTATACCTATGTCTATATTTATATATTTATAATATTAGATAAAGCCATAAAGGTATATAAAAATGCCATAATGGAGGGATCATCTTACTACCACTCGGCTATATATTTATGGTAACACAGGTGACATATTATGTAGGTGACTAGAGCTTCCGTTTGAAATTAGGACATTCGAACATTTCGTTTGTAAATTATAGTTAAATCTATATTTAAAACTGAAATATTAAAATTCGAATCTTTAAATATGTCATCAGATTCGAATATCATCTGATATTTAAAATGTTTTATAAGATTTGAATCTATTCAAATTTGCCACATGATTTCATTGATTTGACGCCTATTTGTGTACACTGTACAGAATCTGTCTCTTATACACATCTAGATGTGTATAAGAGACAGGGCCACATGATTTCATTGATTTGACGCCTATTTGTGTACACTGTACAGAATAAATAGTTGATAAAAAAAATTCTTCGATAGACGATATTTAACTAATTTTTTCTTTTGATTATTATAAATTTATTATGGAAGAATGTCAAGAAACAGAATATACTGTAATAACAACATTGAAGAGTTTAAAACCAGAAAAAGTAGAAAAATTAATCTTTTTAAAAAGAAATTCCAATTTACTTGATATCATGTAATTACTTTAATTTGTAACATAAAGGAAATAATATAAATATTAAATAAAATAAAGAAATAAAGACATACAGTAATTTTACTAAAAAAAAATAAAGTTCGTAATAAAATTATGAAATTTGAATATCATATATTAATTCGAATATCATGTGAGATTCGAATATTATATGATATATTCGAAATTTTATCTCAAATATTTTCAAACATTCGAAATACAATTTGATTTTCAAACGGAAGCTCTACAGGTGACGAATAGAGGACAAAAAATCTAAGTCGCTGAAATAAATATAAAAAACGTGAACGAGGCAGTCACGTGAACGAAAAAATGCAGTTTCAAGTAATTCGAAAACGGCGATAAAACAAATTAATTAAATCAATTAAATTATATCATTATCTGTTTTAGGTCAACAAATTAATTAAATTAATTAAATTACATTATTATCTACTTTAAGTCTAAAAATAAAAAATCAATCTATCTATAACCTTTAGTTATTATCATCTGTCAACTCCGTTAACTCCCTTAGTACTTAGTACCGTTAACTCCCTTAGTACCTTTAACTCCCTTAGTACCATAAACTTCCTTAGTACCGTTAACTCTCTCAGTACCTTTAACTTCCTCAGTACCGTTAACTCCCTTGGTACCATCAACACCGTTAACTCCCATAAAACTCTCATAATTGAAATTTGGGTCATAATTGAAATAAGGATCAGCTGAGTAATCGTAATTTTCGTCAATTTCATTGGGACCTTTATTAGCATCTCTCATATTAACACCATAATAGGGACCCGAATGATATTTTAGGCTTAACTGACGAAGAGGTACCGATTCAGAACAATTTGGATCTTCAGCATTACATTCAATAAAGGCAGTTGGATCTTGATCAGGATTATTTATATATAATTCTTCACCAAAATGTTTATAGGACCCAATAAATGGAATTGGCCATGATGTAGGTAAACGAGGAACTGGATCACCACGAACTATAGTTCTTATTGCTCTTAGGTTTTCATCAACATATTTAGCAAACTTTTCATCACCAATTCTTGGTTGACCAAATGTAGCAAGAAACAATTTTTCATTATTAGCTAAATCTGGTTTCTTTTCTATAAGATCTAATGCCGATAATGTAGCAAGTGCTATGATAAAAAAAAAAGACTGTTAAAAAGTTGTAATTAAATATGTAATTTTTTTTTAAATTTATTGAACTCACCACCACCTAAACTGTGACCCATAAATCCGATCCTGAAATCGGGATTTTCTTGGATTAATTTTATAAGATCATCAGTAACTTGGGGTTGAATTTGTTCCCAAGCATTAAGAAATCCATGGTGTACCTTGGTATCAGGTTTAGGAGAATAAGTATCTTGATAAATGACAAAGTCAGTAATGTAATTTCTGATACTTCCTGGTTGCGTTCCTCTATATGATACGATGATTAATTCTTTTTCTGGATGCGTGGCTATGAAACCTATATATTTATTATTTTGTTAGTAAACGTAAAAAATTAACGATGTGTGGCACAGTAATAATATAAAATACCCCTTGTGTTAAGCCGTTCGTTTTTAAATTCTTTAAACAATTGGGTACCCGCATTTGCCATACAGATGTCTCCACAGTTCCAATTTTGAAGAGGAGAATTAATATAAGCAGCAGCAGCGAAATTAGCGCAGCTCTGTAACACAGGGAATGATGTAATGGAACCAAGAGTATTAGGTACTGGAGAAGCTTCGATTAATACTGATAAAAAGATTAAAGAGATTAAAGTAATTAACTTGAAGGATAATGTGTGTTGTAAAAGATGTGAAAAGGAGTTATGCGTGTATTTGGTAGAAGTTGCTTTACAACTTGAGGAAATAATTTGCTGCTGCATTGCTTATTGCTTTACAGAGGAAATGTTTTAGTGTAATGTTTTAGTGTAAAAGAATGAAATGCTTTCAGAGAAAAAAACACGTTCTTTTATACGTTTTTTGGAGTTATGATCGCATCTTTATTGAAATTCAAATAATATATATCAATAGATTTGATAAAATACACTGTAAATGATTATTCTTAGTGATTGGATACTTTCAGTGATCGGATACTTCATATCTTATTAACTAAATCATTCTTTACTTTATTTTCTTTAAAAGTCTATTTAAATTGTTAATTACATAACATTTAGTAAAAAAGAATAATTTCCGAGACTTTTGATTATCAACTATTTGGCCGTATAAAGCAAATAATCCCGAAATTTTTTTTTTTAATTGACACAATCCCGAAATTTTTTTTTTCTGATTCACGCAATCCCGAAATTATATTTTGTCCAACATCTCCCACATCTGCAAATGTTTGACATAGATCATTTTGTATATAAAAGGGGGATCGTCTAAAAGCGGGCAAATCACATGATTCGATATAATATAAGCGGACTAATTTTTTTTATAAATTAAGATTAATATAAACTTGAAAATCATAAAATAAGCATATCTTAGCCTGCTTTAAAAGAAAAAAAAAAGTAGATTTTTGTATACTATTAAGATTTTTCCCGATCATATTCCAAAAATGGATAGACAAAAAATGAAAATCAAATAAATCGAAAATGGCATTTAAAACCTCATTTTGTGCTCTACGGAGCAGGCCAAAAAAAAAAACTTAGCAAAATTGTTTAAAAGGTTGTGAATATATGGCAAAAAGTTTTATTTAGAAAAAATAGGTTTTCCGAAGTCACGTGATTTTACGTTTAGACGTCCGGTTAATACAAATCAAATATTGAAGATCAATGACCATATGTATATATATATATATATGATAAACGAAGCACTTTATTTATTTATATGAAGAACATACAAATTATATAAAATAACTCCGGAGTTCGATAATTAAGTAAAACCTAATGGTCGACAGGACATTTTCCCGACAGGAATTTTCCCGACAGTTATGCACGAACACGTGATCAAACGGCCAGCGTTAAGCTGTCGGGAAAATGTCCTGTCGGGAAACGGTCCGTAAACGAAACTTAATACCTCCCTCATTACCAAACCTTCAGTACTATTACCTTATAATCCTAATCCTAATTTAATTTATGTCTAAAAAATTTTTTTACGTAAAATCACGTGACTTAAACCATATATTTTTTGATTTGCAAAAATAAAATTGATCCCGAATTTTAATGTGGGACAAAATCCCGACAGTATTTACGAATTAAAAAATAAATTTCCGAAAAATTTCCGAAATTGCATTTAATGCCGGTGGGACAAAATAAAGAATAGTTAGAGTATACCAAAACATGTATACTTAAGTTAAACCAATATAGTTAAATCATACTGAAACAGAAAAAGTTAATAGAGAGAAAAACTCTGAAACGATATCTAGAATAGCAGAAAAATAACCAATGTGATTAGATTATTCCAATATAAGTAAGTTAAACCAATCTAGTTAGATTTTAGATACGCTTCTATAATCTAATTATACTTATATAACCGAAATTCTATAATCTAACTCTACCTCTATAACCCATCCATACCATATAACCTGGTTACGGTACATTTCACCGAAATCCAATTCACCGAAGCCATTTCGCCAAAGGGATGTTTCGTAGAAAAATCACCTTTTCTTATAATATTATCAAATTGATCCATTTAATTACTATATCATAATTTGTAATTGCCTTTTTTTAATGAAAACATCAATTTGTTCATTCTCACTGGTCCATTTTGTAAAATTTACTTTTAAATTATTTATTAAACGAGAATTACATAACATTGTATATTTTTTCTCACCACATATTTTACAATAATTCTCACTATATTCATTTTGAAAAACTAAAATATAATGTTTTGTATATGGATTTTGATATATTTGCTCACCATATTGATACTGAATAACCTTACAAAGAAAAATAATAAATATTATTATATACATTTTTACATATTATTATATAAAAATGTACTTAAAATTATTCAAACCTTAAGTAAAAACTCGTCAATAACATCATAATAATTTATTAAACAACCTTTCTTATCCGATTCTCTTATCCATAGTGCTCCTAACGGGTCGGGTTGGGTCGGGTTTAAGGGATATTTGAATTCGATTCGAATATTCATGTGATTCGACTTGAAAATTCGGATCGATCAACCGTGTAACCCGAACTTGATTCGACCCGATCATAGTTTAACCCGAATAACCCGGGTCAAACTCGAATTTATATTAAATTTATGATCAGCTAAATTAATCGTCAAGTTACGCAATTTTTTTACGAAAAAGTTTACAATTTTTATTGTAATAATGTTTATTTATTAATTAATATAAAATTCAGTTTAAATTTCTTTGATTTTTCACACTTACCAAGATTCCAAACTCATACATGCACGAACAGTTTGTGTTTTAAGGCTGAATCATTTTGTTGCCAGTAGATCAGCTCCACCAGAAAAAATTCGTTCTACTGGAACACTTGTTCAATAATATTATCAATAATTGCATACAATAAGCTTATTTATCTGTAATAGCCAGATAACCTTGGACGTATTGGAGTCACCAATTTTCCGTAACCAAGTCTTATTAACTCTAGAGTTTTAAAAAGAATTATGAAATAATATTAAATATATATTTTAAATTAAATACAATAAAAACTTTTACTTACGAACAGTTAAGACACATGACTTCCTAATGCGTATTTGCATCTTTATTTTTTCCGAGTTGATTTGTTGGTTCAGAAATATCAATAGTCTCAGACATTATTTCTTATTCATTAATAAAGTTTTTTACAAGAAAACTCACATTTCGTGGCTTAATGATGGGGAAAAACCGCGGCATCCGGGTCACCCGGGTTGATCTGGGTCAAAACAACAGTACGACCCTAACCCGACGGGTCGGGTCATGCGGGTTACAAGTCATTAAAATGATTAATCCCGATTCGATTCAAAATTCGAGTCGGGTCGATCACCCGGGTCTGATCCGACCCGTACGGAGCACTACTTATCCATTTCTTTTTACCAAGATCATCTTAATATAATGGACCATCATTCCATATTGCTGTATGATAATTTTTTTAATTTCCCATTTTTTTTAATAACGTTAAATTTATTATATGGGATTCATTCAAATATTACATCAACATGATGAGTTTTATTTTTAATTGTTGTTCTTTAATAATATCATCAATTTCTTTATTTTTACTGGTCCATTTTGTAAAATTTTCTTTTAAATTATTTATTTAACACACCAATCATTCGCTACATTTGTATATTTACTAAAACATTTTTTACATGTTGAATGTGTTGGAATTACTGGAAGTGACATTGGAAACATTGGAAATTTTTTTTTGAAAATAAAATTATATTTAAAAATTTTTTAACAATGAAAAATACCAAATTTTGTGAAGAAACCAATAATTTTTTAGCGTAACAATGAGTAAATATAATGTGGCGCAGTAAACACAGATGATTATAAAGTTACTAAAATAATGGTTAATTATTAAGGCTTAAAAAACATATTTCATATAATTGTTTTTTTCAAGAGGTCATCAAGACCATTTAAATGATGTCCATTTTGGTTACAGAACGATTTTCCAACATCCATTTTCCTGACGTAACCTTTTCCTGACAATGATTTCCCGACATGACAAAATCCCGAATGGACATTTTCCTGAATAACATATTTTCCTGACATGACATTATCCCGACATGACATTTTCCTGAAATCAAATTACGAAATACGAAAAATGATTCACAAAAATACTTATATTTATTTAATTTACTTTTTGCATAATATTTTCTTATTTTTTTTATTAAATTAACAATGAATTTATTATTTTACAATTATTACATTTATCACGTAATTTATCTTAATCGAGACAATTGTTTTTTTTAAAAACACAATTACGAGATTTCACATATTAAACATATTATACTAAAATTACATAATTTATTTTTATTTTTATTAATTTATACCCTTTAATAAAATTAAAATTCAATTAATAAAGCAGCTATTTTATAAAATTTATTATTCTTTGTTTATTATAAATAGCATTAAAATATCCTCAATGCTTTCTTATACATAGTATAATTAAAACAACAAATTAAACAGGCGAAAGGAACCATATTTACTATAAATTTAATAAAGTATGGATTTTTTCAAAAAATATATCCATTTTCTAATAAAAAAACAATTATAAATATTCAGAAAATGGATCTTTTTTACGTCAAGATGAGTTCGATGAAAGAATATTAAAAGAAGTTAGCACTTTGGTGAAGAAAAGCTTTATTACAAGACGAGCTAGACAAAATATCTTTCACAAAGAATAATGTCTTACATTTTATTGCAAACTGAAAACTTGTTATGATAGTACTAAATAAACTATTTTAATATACTTGACAGTTGTTATTCTTAAGTATACATATTTTACTAAAAGAATCATAAACCATACCCATTATCTTAAAGAGAAGTTGAACTGTTAAAGTGAGGCTATATTATAGAAAAAATGGTCATC